CCCCAAAACCCCAAAACCCCAAAACCCCAAAACCCCTCCAAAACTAGAAGATAAAATTAATACTAAGCTAAAATGGAAGAATCCAAATATATGATCAGTCCACGCAAAGTTCAAGGAGCTACTAGAAGAGATACAAGTTATTACAAGACGACTGCTAATGTTTCTAAGGCAACTATCCTTAATCCAAATGAAAAGATTCAAAGTATGAGTAAGAACTTGGGTCTTCTATGATTAAAGTTCTCTTATACCATGAGTAACTGAGAATTTAGTGGTTGTGAACTCACTTAATAAATACACATCTAAAACTATCCCTTTTGGGCACTAAAATTGGAGCTGACATAATAGGCTGAAAAACATTGACTTTGGGCTTATATTTATTTTTGAATGTTTTCATACAACATTAAAATCTTATTCCATATCAATTCCTAAATGACACAAATATTTTAGAAAATATCAAGAGAAGCTATGGGAAATTGAAGTCCAGCAGAGGATTGTTGAAATATAGGCTTCATAAAAATAACCAACATAAGGAGCATAGCCATTATACTTCCAAAAGAGAGAGCAAAAGAGCTAAAAACACTCCTTGTTCTAAGTACAGCTCCAGAGGTATTATTTTTGGGGTTATAAATCTAGATTACTTAGCGAGTCGAACTCTGAAGACAACTATATTTAAGATGAAGAAAAACAGCTTCGAATCAACAATTTCTGGCCATAACTTGGTAAGTCCAAATTTTTTGAGATAGATAAATTAATGTACTCATTTTCGCCATAGATGGATGCTACAAGAACACCAGTTTATTCTATCCCTGTCGACCTCTCAACCACAAAGGGATCTGGCCCAGTCAAAGGAGCAGCTGTTGGTTATGCTACTGAGTTAAAATCATCAACTGAAAGACTATACAAAAAGTCAGATGAAAAGACCAAGCAAGTTAGCAAGATTAGGGAGAAAATGTAATCAAAATTTTATAACTAGCGTTTAAAAAAGTTCCCAAGAAATCTCTAATCTGAGTTATAGAAAGGAATCAGCTAGAAGTAGAAAGAGAATGGCTAGAGTAGTAAATTCTACAAGATTCATTAAGTTTGACCTTAGAAGTACTTCCCATAGTAACAATAAAAGAAGCGTGTCCAAAGGTTCAGTAAGGGATGATAGGAGCTATTTCATGACCAATACACCTGAACACAAGGGAACTAAATTTAGAGAGTGCATAACTAGTCCTCAGAGACCTCCTAATTTCTCAGATTCTAAATTCTTATCCCCTGATGACCTTAATGGTGGAGAATATTCTGACAACCTCGAGAAGGAAGAACTAGCCTTAAAATTAGCAGAAGCTAATACAGAAATTGCTAGGCTAAAGCTTGAGCTTGAGAAAGAGCGCAATCTTAGAGAAATGCAAGTTTGAAAACTCTGCTCACTTCAAAAGGTTCCAGAAAGTGGCAGAAACTCTATTGCAGAATATATTAACAATAAACTTCAGAAATATAAAAAGGAGTACGAAGATGACCTCCTATTTCAAAAATTAGAAAATGATATAGCAGAGGGAACAAGTGGGACTTCTAATAAAAGCAGCACTGCTCATTGTTCTTCTGCTGGAACAAATCAATCAAAATTATTAGACTCAAAGGTGTAATTCTAAGCGAGAAAGCTTCAGCCAGCTTATAAGCAAGATCCATTTGAACTAATTGATAGTATAATGGTCCTTAATTCAATTAAACAATAAGGTTTAGGGGTTTTGGGGTTTTGGGGTTTTGGGGTTTTGGGGTTTTGGGG